TAGTCTTATTTTGATCAAATAATTTATTTTAGTAGCATGCATATATAGAGTATACGGGAGCCAGAATATGGGAAAGTGATGATTTTGACCTTATCTATTAAGAATGGTATAAAATGGACCTGTTCATTTGTTCAACTTGCTATGGAGATTTCATTCTTCCTAGTAAAAATTTTCATTTGTGAGGAAGAGAAACTGCACTAGCAATCATTATTTATGAATATATTGCTATGATAAACACTTTTTTGAATTTGCTTGGGAATTATCTGTTTCTCTAGGGACTCTTATACAAGATCTATTTGTAAAACCATAGGCTCTGGAGGAAAAAGAGAAAGAAACAGAATGGAGTCTGATCTGTGCCTGGTTATTGATTTGCCAAATAAAAAGGGTGGGTTTGGACAAAAAAAAACCAACCCAACACCCCCCATCCCCCCAAAATCCCAACAAAAGAAGATATAAATGAAGGTGACAAATAGGCTCTGGTATATGTATCTTAAAAAAAAAAGTTATGTTTACAGAGTCTACAAGCTGAGACTTGGGTTGGTCAAAATGGAGACTTGGTGGAAAAGAAGACCAGAGAGGATTTCACTACCCTTTTTCTGGCTTAGGAGAAAACACTAGGAAAATACAGCTGGTTGCATATCAGTTACAAATTGTATTTTCTTTCTCCAGAGTGCAGATGTTATGAATAACCCTTTAGTGATTTCAAAAAAAGAGCTGGAAAGCTCATGGCTTTCTACCCTTTTGGAATAATATAATTTGGCTTGGGTTTTTGTTTTTGTTTTGAGTTCTTCCTTCTCCCCAAAAAAGAAACATTCTATGAATTTTCTGCGTCTGTGTCTAGAGAGAAGCATATATTCATGCCAAAACAATTCTTTCATTTGCAGGTTTGTCTTTCATGGTCTTTAAATTCACAGGAGTGGATTTACCTATTGATTGGATTCACACTTGTACAAAAGAGAGTAGTGGTGAAATCAGCCTCTGCATATAGAAAAATAAAATGAGAAGCAAAAAAAATTTGCTGGGAGGTCAGCAGATCCTCTGAATTATCCCCTAAAAGATCACATTTTGCTGATCATCTACTGTACTGCTTATCTTCCTACACATGTCAACATCCAGAAGCTCACAGTGAAGTCAGAATTTTCAGGTGCTCCTGGAGGATGAGTGGTAGCTCACTTCTCAGGGAAGGGGGAGAAAGCAACACTGAACTTTTTGTGCAGTTTTTTCTTCAATGGAGTATTGTAGTCTGTGTCTTTCTGTTTGCCCCTTTTTCATATTGGCACAACATTGGCATAGATTCCCATAATTTCCATGGCATTCCAGGATTTATTAAACTGAACATAAAGTGCCAAGTACTTTCCAATGTTAGGGTGCAAAGCATCTGGGGATAAAGATTCAGTCTTTATTGGAGATAGGTTCTGCCCAAAGACCAAAAAATAAGTTATTTTCTGTGTGCAATATTTATCTTCCCACTTTACAGAACACAGGTATCATTAGTAGAATATTTTGTCTCATAATTAGAATTGGAAGGCCTATGAATATTAGGAGATGCTTCAATCCCCACTTACTGTAAAATTATTTTAATTTCACCTATTGAAGATGTGGATTTTTATATAATATTTTTACTTTGCACTTTTCCAAATAGTGTTCTACATTATATAATTTCTACTTCATGTTAATTATCATAAACTGCTCCTTTTTTAATTGCCTCTTATGTATTCCTTTTTACTACTTAATGCTTCTCTTTACCTGCCCAATGAACCACAAGGGAATTTCAATGAAACTTTATTGTCTCGATGGCAGATGGCCACTTACCCATCAAATAAGCCCTTCTATAAGGCACAAAAGCTTTTATTGAAATGTTTCTAACATTTTTGCACTTTCAAACAAATTTTCTATATTTTTCATCCTTAGTCAGCTCTTTGCAAGATATTTTCAATGGTGACTCTCCTCTCTTTATGTGTATTGAATATGATCCGTGATTATGGGACCTTAGGCAACTGGTGACCTCTGATCCAATGATTAGTAACCTTTATCACTCATAATGAAGTAATAAGGTAGACACATACTTTGTTTAAATAGCACCAGTATCAGAGAGTTACAATGTATATTATGATATCTTTTTAGAAGCTTTTGGCCTCCAGCTTCTAAGGGAAGAAAAGGGCACATGGATGATCATAATAACCTGCTGCACAAACTCCAACTCAGCTGGCAGACCACAGGGTCAACATCTTCACAAATTCTCAGAAAGATATACCTTTATGCAACATGTCCTTGATGTCTGCCAAAGCCAAAATACCATGACACAAGGAGCTGCTTGTACAATTTGTGTTTTTCCAGAGAAAGCCACCAAGAGCAGCCCTTTGTAAGATGTTTGCTGTTTGTGCCACAATGCACAACCAGCAAACAACAGAACAGTGGTCTACTGAGGATTTGGGAATCATTTGGGAAAGAAACACAGCAAAAATATATATATGTGTTAGCAGAGGAGTACATGTCTGCTGGACTTCACTGTGCCCTGCTAAGAGAGTGTATGTGAAAACCAGAGAAAATAGGGTTGGAAGTAAGGAAAGGTGCAGTCAACATTCCGCTTCCACCATAAAACCAAAAGATTAAGGGAACAAAATGCAGAGGTGGAAAGAGAAACATGGACAAAACAGCCATGGAAATAGTGTAGCTGGAGAGAATAAAAATCTGTGAAAAGTCAGAAATTGATGGAAGAGAGAAACAGTGCATAGAAAATAATTTAAGAGGAAATTTAAAAAGTGTTATGATACTTGCTCCAGAGCACTCAATGCAGAAGAGCTGAAGAAGGTGAATGGTAAAGAATGATGACAAGGCTTCACTTCTCATGCCAGGCATTACACTATATGTATTATCATTTAATCACAGAAATCTGTAATGAAAACCAACAGCAATGTACATTGCAGCAGAATGTAGGAAGAAAATGCTCGAGAGCAACATAAATCATGGGCAGCAATGGAAGAGTTGGGGGCAGTTTGGGGCACGAGGATAAAAAGGTTGATTCTGAGTAGGGAGTTACAAAATGTTTTAAAGAACAAAATATTGAGACTGACATCATTGTGTAGGAGGAAATGGTTTGACTAAGTCTCAAAGCTAGGCAAGATCAGGAGGGGGAAAGGAACTGAAAGAAGGACAAGTTGGGGGTTGTTGGCATGAAATGAACATGAACTGGAGGAAAATAGGAGGAGTTATATGTGAGCAGGGACTGTAGAGATTGTCAACAGGGCAACTTAACCAAAGGCTAAATAGTGTGCCCCTTCTTTCTTCTAAAAAAAATTCTGCATCTTGAGATCACCCTGGTACCTGATTTTGAAAAACTAGCCCTACCATATAGGGTGTGGGCTGCTATTAACTACCATTTCCTAGTAACTTTTTCAAGGTTCCACTTGCTTCTAGGACAAAAAAAAAACCACCCTAAAAAACAAACCAACCAAACAACAACAAAAAAACTCCCAACCGAATCACCACAAAAATAAACAAACAAACCAAAAAAGAGAAAAGAAAATAAAGTAAACAGCACTGGGCACATCTTTCAGCCATGGTAGGCAAGGTACTGAGGGCTGGAGCCTCTGGCATCCATGTCCACTGTTCACAGGGAGTGCACAAACTCCCAAGACCGCTGCTCGTGTTGCGGGCGCCCAGGCATCCTCCACGCCGCCCTGCCACGGGCACACCCTCGGACAGACAATGAGCACCGGGTCCGCGTCCTGCCCCCCCCACCAGGCGACACCTCCCGGCAGCGCTCCCGCCCTGCTGACAGCCCCGGGCCCGCTGCCCCGACGTGGGGGTCCCGCTCCGGGCGCACCGCCGCGCTCCCCCGTCCTTCCCGAGCGCGGGGCCGGCTCGCGGGGATGCTAGGTGGGCACCAAAAAGTTAGGGACATCGGAGGCAGGAGACGCGGGGGCGGCAGGGCCGCTCCCCCCCGCTTTTGTTTAGCTCCAGGGAGCGGACCCTTGGCGGGGCTAGCGGGCTGATCGCCCCAGACCCCAGCATGAGCCTGTCCCACGGCCCCGCCGTCGCCACAGGGCCAGGGGGTGGGGAGGAGGAGGAGGACTGAGGCGGAAGGTGTCTCTTCAGCCTCACGCTCTCCCTCCAAGGTGAGTTGCAGGGCTGCTCCGCGCTCCTTTAGTCTCGGAGCACCCCGGCCCCCCTGGCCAAACTTGGGTCGGGGAGCCGGGCGCCCCGACGGCCGCCGGCGGAGCGGGGCCGGGCCGGGCGCGGGGCGGCCGCGCGTTCCGCCGGGGCCGCGCCGGGGCTGCCAGCGCCGTCCGTGCCGGCTGTGCCCGTGGGGGCTGCCGGAGGGCAGGTGGAGGGGCCGTGGGGGCCGGAGGTCCCCTCCTTCCCCTTGGGTTTCTTTGGGACGGATACGGTCGGCCCCATCTTTGCGCTTTACGCAACAGGTAGGGATGCCAGGAGCTGGCGGCGGCGGCACGGAGCCGCGGCCAGGAGGTTTCGGGGGGCTTTTTTTGTTACGTTCTCTGGAAAAGTGCGAAGGGGAAGGGGAGGAGAGCCAACAGTTATCCGAAATTCCCCTTCAGTTGTTTATTTATGTACTTCCCGTGTCCATGAAAAACGGGTTCGTTTCGCAACTCCGGAGTTTTATATTGTTTTCTATTTACTTTTCTCCCCTCCTTTTCTTTCTTTTAAAGTTATTTTTCTTTATGTCCTGCGTTTGCCCGTCTCATTCCGGCAGATCAAGCTGTCCGAAAGCAGATCCCCAGAGGCTTGTCCTCACTGACAGTCGGGGGAATCCAAACAAAGAGGTGCATCTACCGGAAATAATGATTTGAGAGATGGTTCTCTCCCTTTCCAACCCCCCACTCCCCCGCCTTGAATTAAATTGTTTTCTTTTTCTGGGAGGTTCAGTTCGAGGGAAGTTTTGCGCCGGAGCCGGGGTCGGGGCTGAGGAGGGATGGAGCAGACGGAAAGTTGCGGTGGTGGGAGGAGGCGGGGGGCGAGGGCAGTACGGGACCCCGGCGGCGCCCGGACCGCGGGGGGAGCAGGGGCGCGGGGGACCTGCCGCCGCTGCCGGCTCTTTGTCTGCTCGGGCAACTTGAACAAAAGGAGAAACTCGGATGAACTCTCCATCTCTTCCTCGCCTCTCCCGGGTTAACTCATCTTCGGCAACTTTATCGGAAGAGATTTGCTCAACTTTCTTCGAGCTCTCCTGCCACTTAAAAGCAAAGAGCCCCGCCGTAGACTTCTAAGGAAATCTGGTTTCACAGTTTAGAGAAAGGAGAAGGTACGTTTGGACTTGGGGTTTATTGTTCTTTCCCGGCTCCCTCGTCGCTCCCCCCTCCACCCTGCCATCCGCGCCCGGGTCTGGGAGCGCAACGGAGGCGTCTGCGGGCCAGCCTTTCCTTTGTACTTTTGGGAGCACATGCAGGTATTTTTGGGGAGGGTAAGGCAGTCATTCCGCCCGAAATCCCGTAATGCGGGCTGGGGGACATTAGTCAGGGCGGGGGGGGGGGGCGGGGGGGGGGGGG